GGCTTCTTCCTTTACTGGTAATGATTCCAGCTATATAACAAAGACTAGGAATGACCTAAGGATAAACTGTAAGATATGGCCAGTCATCATTTTTAGTTTGGCCCTACCACGAAACAAGAAATTATAATGGCTACAGGTAGGAGTCTCTATATATTTGTTTCATCAACTACAATAGCTATGGTACTGTAGAAGAAATCACTATTAGCTTTATCTTCATCAAGGTGTTAAACTACCACATATTGGTCAATATTCTCAATTGGAAATGACTGTAATAAGAACTTGTGGGCCAATGAGTTGACTCAGTGTTCAAAAAAAATTCATTCAAGATGAGCTGTTTAAATAATAACTGTTCCATCATTAGAAAGACAATTACAGTACTGCAAAACAACCAATGCTTCCATCTTAAATTCTTTCTTCTATTATAAATAGCATTTTAATAAATTTCAGCAGGTGGGGAATAGCAGAAGCAAACATTTTCTTTTATAACAGTCCTAAATCTTAGATTCAAGTGAGAATCATATTTCAGTAAACTAAGTTTTCTGTAACAGTTTTGTAAAAGGAGAATTAAGATTGCACAGTGGCAGCAACTGCCGGATCAAATGGACAGATCTCCAAAAATCTCCAAAACCCAATGTAGCTAATTTAATTCTCTACAAAACAGAAATATAAATGTAGTGAATAATTGCACTCTAATACTCTTTTCTTTCACACACTGAAATATAAACTAACATAGCTATGCACTGTTGCAGGCCTGCTGGAAAGTTCTTAGATTCAGCACAAATGGAAAAAGAAATTTTACTCAAGTTGGTCCAATCAAGCTAAATGCCATTTCACCTCAGTTTTTAATGCATAAATTGCAACGAGGCAGTCAAAAGGAATGATCAAAGCACTAAATGCCCTAATATTGACTGCACAGATAAGCAATTGAGTAGATTTTTACACCCTAAGACAAGAATCTAACAAACCAAAACTATTATTTAATTTAATCATTGCCACTCAGTGCCATTTTAGCAAATGGCAGCAGTCTTTTGTACTAATTGGACTAACAATTTGTCTCACACTGAGTGATGATGAACTCAGAATTCTGGAAGAACTGCACCCACTTCCAGATAGCGATATTAGTTTACTCTCAGGGTGTAGCTCTCTTTGAACAGTGAGCTATTCTTAAAGTAAATAAAAGTTCCATTCCATTGGACTGAACACAAATGTGTGAAAAAAAGAGTCAAATGTTCGCATAAAACCCCTCTAATGTAAGATATCAGAACAGAAACAGCTGCCTATTTCCTCTTAATATGGAGGTAATATAAATCACTGTATTAACTGAACTGATTGTAATTTGATGAAGTCTATCCTATTCACAGATGAAAGCGTATTAACTTATGTGTCTTAACATACAAAACCTTTGCAGTCACTTTCATACTAACAGCTGTAGGACCGTAAGCTTTTTCTTTACACCACAGCCACATAGTGTCTTATCCCAAGAGACACTGTGTGATTTCATGGAAGCCTTAAATTTACTGAACCTGCCATCAGCAAAGGCTCTGTAAATTAAAGTTTGAACACAATATTGTTTAGTGAAATGTCAGCTTCCACAGCAATTGTCTGTCAAATGAGTGCTGCTCACTAAGACTTCACCAAGAACACTCCAGAGTCAAACAAGAACATGAAAATGTACTGCAGGGCTACGGCCAAACTCCTGCAAATGCTCAAGGTTTTCCCAGTCCAGAAATGCACTCCCAAATGTGTTTTTATGTCCCCCAGCATCTACACTGGGTAGGGACTAAAGTTAAAGACTGATGCCCTTTGACATAAATCTTCCCAAATAAGACTAGTTTCCCATTTCTACACATTAGCAGAGTGAGAGGGGAATCATCAGTGTATATAAAAAGACATCTATAAACATTAACAGCCGGAAGTCGAACATACTTCTGATATGATCCCTACGCCCTTGCATTTGGCAAACAGGCACTCCACTCACAAATTAAATCGGAGCTGCTTAACAGCTTGGCAAAAGCCTGATATTTTCTGCCCTTGAATCACTCTGGACAGAAAGCAAAAAATCAGACTGCTGGTATGTAGTAAACCCATATAAGTAGAAGTAGCATACGAAATTAAATATCCTACTAAACCTGTCACAATTTTGAAGTTGTATTTGAGACACTGGTTAAGCATGTTTGTGAACATTAAAAATCCCAGTTATAGCACATAAAGCATAAATATAAACTCATTCCTTCAATGTCTGTTGTCCAAGTCCTGTGTTTGGATAACTGAAAGACTGAAAAACAAACCCAGCAATGCGGAAAAAAAACTATCTGTAACTCATATTTACTAGCAGAAGTGAACTGCATTAGAGCACATATTAGGAACAAAAGATTACAAGGAGGGATTAAACAGACATTTAAAACTTAAAGAAGTGGAGGCGTAAACCAACTCTGGAGTATAAAACTCCAGGAACAGAGGCAACACAAAGGCAAAACTGTAACAGCAAAGCAAAGAAAAAGACAAGGAATTGAAAAGAGAATATGGGTACTTAAGAAGTAGCAGAATATGGAACAAACAGAGAAATTATAGTATTATCACTTTTTGCAGGGCAAGTAAAATCATATTTTAAGAGCTAGGAAGTTCCGAAAGCTACTGAGACAGTCTCTGCCACTTGTTCTAAAACATAAGGGGATAAAAACCCCCAGACTTAGGAAACCAGGTCACCAGGAATTAAGATGCCTGCTTCTAACAGTTTGGTTTAATGTATTACATGATCCAAAATTGCTTGGAGGTTTTGGCACCTTAAAGATAAATCAATATCTGAAATGCAGCTCCTCTAGACTAACTAAGTGTGGAAATGATGGCAACAGTTGAAGTAAAATAGCTTTATATATAAGTACTAATTTTATCACACTGTCTTCTTATCCCATATATAACTGACGAGCAGTGAAAGTGTAAAATGTGGTTTCCTTCCTAAATCTTTAAATTAAATAATCTCAACAGGCAAAATTTTGAAGTGCACATCAGTTCGTAAAAAAAAACCCACCCAAAATCTAAAATAAACCCAAACACCTTCAGTAACTACTGTTTTCAACATGCTACTAATAACAATAAGCCAGTCACAATAAAAATGTGTGTAACAGTGAGCAGTGGCTGTGCAAAGTGATCCAGACGAAGGATTTTTTAGATGGAAAACAAGGTAATCTTCAATAGCAGAATTAAAAGTGGATTTATCTATGCAATTAGATCTGTGTTTCTAAAGCAAAGGGGTAAGCCCTTGCAAAAGGTTGTAAAATGTGGATCCTGAAACAGAAGCACTGCTGGACAGAACAGACCAATGCACTCCACCCAGTTCATATTTCATTCAGGTAACTCCTGTCTCTCTAATTAAAAAGTCTTCCCTAAAACTACATCAGACATAGCTGCAGGAAAACATGTATTCACAGATTTTAAAATGCTTACAAAGGGCACTGTCTTACACAAAACCTCCTCCCTAACTACATTTATGACAGTTTTCCTTACCTTTAAAAATAACAGAAACGATAGGATCTGGTTTCCCAAACTTGGTTTTAGGGATATTGGTAGCAGATTCCACAATTACCCGAAGCATTGTTTCCCGTCTTGCCTAAATGTTGACTGTTACAAAATAAATTCAAGGAAGTCTTCAGTTTCACACTCCTTAACTTCTGGACTGAAATGCTAGCAGGAAGAGGAGGCAGGGAATTGCTGGTTTACAATAAAGAAGGTCTATGGGTGGATCTATGACGGACTAGCTACTCAATCTAGGAAAAAAAAAAGTCCTGTAAATTGACACCAAGTTCTGTCTTGCTGCACAAAAAACAGCTCTCGCTAATGAAATCCTGTAACAGAAAGGACACAGTGCAAAAACGAGTGCAGATTTATTTTGGAGGGTTTTTTGGTTGCTTTTATTCTGAAGCTGTGTGATAAATCTCTAGTAAGTAACTAAGGCAAGAGTAAGCATTAAGCAACATCAACATTAAACATTAAACACGACTCTAGTACTCAAGATATATGAAATCTTCATCTTGGTATACCAAGGTATGAAATTTCACGATGGCTTATATTTTTTCCCGTCTTAATTTGCAGAACTACATTGTTTGCAAATGCTCTTGGCTTGCCTCCGTGACAGCCCACAGTCACAAACTAGCGACGGTCCCCAAAACCAGTGTAAGTTCTCCCCCTCCCGTTGCGTTCTGGAACAACGACGTGTTGCACAGTAAATGCTGCAGCTTCGTCACGGAACAGGCTGGATTTAGTAGATATATCGAGAAATTATTAAAATATATATGCATAAATAAAAATGGAAAATAGTTAAGAAAATGCGTACCAAAAAACCCCCAAACCTACAACAACAAAAAACCCCCACAAAACCAAAAAAACCCAACCAACCAACCAACTAACCAAAAAGGTGGTATGACCCTCTGTATTGTTTGGAGGATTATGTTTTGTCTTAACATAAACATATGCAGTAACAAGGTAAAACTTACATGACAGGCACAAGAGCTCCCAGCTCCCCCGAGCTCAGCGTTACAGCAAGTTTTTCTCAGCTGCGGAACAGATGTGAAAACCCGAGCAGTGCACGCTGCAACTGCAACACGTGTGCCAAGCAGAGACGAGGGGGGAAAACAGCAAGACGGAGCAAGATGAGTCACATGTAAGCACACTTCAGCCTAGTTCTTATACGATCATAGAGAACCATCCCACCTCATTTTGGAATTTCTAAAATTATTCGATTTTGGGTAGATTTGGAGAACTTCAGGAGGAGGAAAAAAAGTAAGCTGAAGCACACGTGTTCAGGGAGGGACGAGGATAGAGACACGTACGGGACAGCACCGAGCGGGCCCCACGGGCTGTTCCACGCTCGGCCACCGCGGCCCCGGCCCAGCCAGCGCCTCTCCTCCAGGCGGAGGGTGGGGACAGGCACCGCCGGCAAGCGACACGAGAGGGCAGCACCGCCCGTCCCTCCACACCGGCCTGCGGTGACGAACTCCAAACCCCCGGAACTGACGGGCCGGAGCCGCGGGATTCAAACTCCCGGAAGCGGGGCCGGGCCGGGGTCGGACGGGCTGTGGTTTGGGGTGCTCGGGCCCCGTCCCGTCCCACGGAGCGAGAGCCGGCAGCAGGATCCAGGAAGCCCCGCGCTTGACTCCAGCTGTCGGAAGCCATGTCCTGCCCGCTAGGAGGGATCGCTGTTCCGTGACGCCGATTTTGGGTTTTACAGGCGCCGAAAGATGAACCCCAAGACCGCCAAAGATCGTATTATGGGCAAGTGGGGCTTAAAGTCGAGCAGCTCCAGAGCTGAGAGTGGGCTGGAGAAGGGTAAACAGGAGAGCGCTGGGCTGAGGAATCATCCCGCGGAGGAAGCCGCCCCCGGGAGCGGCGGGATGGCGGAGGCGGAGAGGAGCGGGCTCCTCCAGGTGAGCGGGGCTGTGCCCAGCCGGCCGGGCCGTGTCAGGGCCTCCGGGCCTGCCCGACCCGGGAGCGAGAGCCCCACCTTTCCTCTCGAAACTTCGCTTGCTTTGATGTCGCTGCTGGTTTAGTACTGTTAGACAATTTAGACAAACTTTTAGTTTGACATTTTCATTCTCGTGTGCTTTTCAGAGATGACTGAACTAATAAAATCACACTCATCTGACAAGGCTGCTAAATACAAAGACTTGAGGCCAGAGGTGCCAATTAGTCCGTTAGGACCTGTCCTCTCGTGTCCAGTAGGTCTCCGAGAATTATTTTAAGCACTTCCTGCAAAGAATATTATGTTTGCAAACATTTGTCTAAGAACATGCCAAAAAGTGCTGAGTGTTTGCTTGAACTGAATTGTCAAGCTCCCACTCAGCTATAGGTAAATAAAACTGTAATCAGGTCCCTACATTATTCTTCCATTGCAACCAAAGAGCAGAAACTAAGACTGCAAATTCCATCCAAGGTAAACCTGTGGTTGCAGAGAGAGAAGTTCAAGACTTAATATGTGACCAAGTCCCATACCGTCAGGCTTCCCAGAAGGACTGCAAAACTTTAGGTAGACTCTTTCAAAGAATACAGCTAATGGAGACTAGGCACACTAATATTTCTAGGCCATTTCTTTTGGCAGAAAGGCTTTGCTTGTGTCTGTGCTGCAACATCAGCTGAGAAATCCTAAGCCAAGGATCATCTGTGCCTGGGCAGTTCGTGTACATTCGTGGCTAAATTCCTTAGTGTATTTGCTGTGTCTGTTAGCATTTGCTGCTTGCTCAGTGTTGGTTACTTAATATTGGTTTCCTAGTTTTCAGGTGGAAAATCACCCCCATGTTTAGATGTACACGGTACTCTGTGGTGTCAATATTTTAATTTTAGTGAGCACTCTATGGTGTTCAACCACTCCCTAAATAAGGCTCTCTAAAATTCAATTTGTTTCAGTTTCTTTGTGATATTCTCAACATGTAGGATTTCAGCATCGGCCTTTTTCACCAAAAATTAAATGCTCTCACATCAAAAGTTCATGGAAAGCCCCAAGGTATCTTAAATGCAGTACTAATTCTGTGTAATAATTAATAATTACCTGTGCTGGAGGCCTACTCAAAAGAGAGTGCCTGTTGAAAATACCTACTGAAGCACATTTTGAAGCTAAAGGGCCACATAATTTGGAAAATGGGATCCTTCTCCTGAATGCTTTATTATAACTCTTTTGTAACCTCACTTACTGTCATGTAGTTTGCAAGAAGGCTCTACTACTTCCCAAAAGCTACTAAATATGCTGAGAAATAAGCTAAGAAATGTATCACCAATGTCTTTACTGGAAGGTTTTTGGAGTTCTTGTACTGCTTGTGTTTGAAGGTTCATATACTGTAGTGATCTGTATTCATATACAAAACTGAGTACCTACCAAACCTGTGAAATTTGGTTCTTTGCCTTCTTTCTCTGTTTCACCTACTTCAGACTCGTTTTGCTATCACTTGAAATATTCCAGGTGATTGTGCTAGTATTGTCTGTTTTGAGTAAAAATAATATTCTCAGCTAATTAAAGGCTAAGAGAGAATCTTTGAAAGTGAATACCATAGAATCATAGAATGGGTTGGGTTGGAAGGGACCTTAAAGATCATCTAGTTCCAACCTCCCTGACATGAGTAGGGACACCTTCCACTAGACTTGGTTGCTCAGATCACTCAAACTATTGTAAACTTGCTAATGCATTTATTGCACAAAGTTACTCACTTGTGTCACTTTTTTATTCTGTTTCATTTAGAAAATACATTCCCTTGAAAAAGAAAAAGAAAAACACAACCATCTTGTTGGAGAGAAAGACAGGGAAATCCAAAACCTGAAAGACAAGCTTAAGTCCAAAACCAATAATAGTGAAGTCTCCTTACTACGAAATCAACTAGAGGAAAAAACAAAGGAAGCAGAAAGGAGAGAACAGTTACTTTGTTCTCTATCAGAAGAAATTAACCGGTTAAAATGTAATTTATCTGCTGTCATGGCAAAATGTTCTGATCTCGAGAACAAAGCCAGTAGCACTTCTCAGGCATCCCAGGTAAGCACTAAAGAAATGCTGTAATTGCAAATTGGAATTTGTGCCCACTAAGCACCAATAGTTGTTATAGACTAGGATGGGTTTTTAATTTTCTTGTAAGCTGCATTGCGTTCTGAAATATTCTTGTATGTAGAGAGATGATATCCAGATTGAATGCTAAATGAGGAACAGTCAGGGAGCACAACTTCAGGCAACACAGCTGGGGAGGGAATTCTCTCACACTGTGCTGCAAGGTCCCTTATGCAAGCTCACATGGCTAGTGTGACTAGTGATACTACATGTAATGATCCCTGTTGATTAAGCAGATACTATGCACTTCTTGGATTTGTGTGCTCAATGATTAGACAGGCTGAGAAGGCAGCAGCAGTAGAGATGTGGGGCACTAATAAAGACACACTAAGATCCTCACCTAATTCAGCTTCAGTCACGAGAATATCTTTCTCCTCTCTGTTCTCATAAATCCTCATTTGTGTCTCAGTTGTTAAAACTAATTGTCTGTACTTTCTATGGCATCACACACAGTAAATACTTCCCTGAGACACGAGGTAGGACAGGAATAATGAGTTTCTCCTCTCATTCTAGGTGGTCAGTAGGTATGGTGCCAATCCTTGGCAGCGTTTACAAGTGCGTTTAATATACTAGTTGTTTTTTACAACCCTCCCTGTTCTAATGTTCCATGGAAAATGCAGTAGTATCTCAGTGCAGGGCATAGGGAAGTTGACGCCTAAAAACAGGTGCCTGTAAGTCTTTCTTTTCCAGCTTTTGACCCATAGATGGTGCTGGTTCCCTGTGCTCTACCAGGAACTTAGAAATTCTGCTTTAGGCAGATACATAGCAAAATATCTTAATCTATCACTTTTGGATGATAATACATGTATATGTATCACTTCTAAATTAAGTATATTAGTAAATACCACTTTAAATGCAATATATTTATTTTCAATTTTAAGAGACTTTGAACTGTGTTAGATAATTTAAAATGTATGTAAAGTCAACAGATTTTCAGGATATTTTTGACAATAAACTACAAAAATACCTATTACACTAAAACCATAATTTTCTTTTAAAATCTTAACTGATCTATCAACAGAGGACAACAAATATGACTGTTTTGACTGGATATCATGGAAAACTTGAAAACAAGTCTAGCAATGCTGCTTGAAACTGCTAGGTGGCATGTGAGCTCTGAAATAGAAACAGCAGTTGTATGACACAGTTTTCACTGAGCAGGATTCTAACATTCATATAAACAATTGTGTCTTTAAATCCTATTTTTTGTTAGGAAGTGCTGAAGTTTAATGATTGCATTCAAAGCTCTTCTGTATTTTTCAGTTATAAAATTTGTTGGAAATCACGTTCCAAAACCCATGGGTAAACACTGGAAAAATGTAGTTTGGATTTGGGTAGCAATCTATTTTTTTCTTATTGAAGTTCCCTCCGACTTACATCTACACAATTTCATAAATTCATTCTATCATGCAGAGAATAAACATGTCAGATTATGGAAGAAATATAACTGTTTACCTGCTCTCTAGATTGAAATGGATCTCAAGAACTCTCTGTCTCATACTTCAAGCAGGTCTCAAAAAATCAGACAGTTTGTCCTTATTGTTCCAGATAGGCTTGCACGACTTCCCAGATGTTGACAATCTTCCTGTTATCCCAGTGAAGCTGTAGAGGCCTCTGTAGCTTTCCCCCAGTAACTCCTGTAGGTCTGGCTTATTGTCAAACATATAAGGATACGAAAATAGAACAACCACCTTTTTTTTCTGTACTTAAATAATATCGTAAATATCTTGATTTTTCAAAAGCTCTTTGGAGAACACCCTTCAGGTCTTCCAAGAGAGCAGTTCAACAGAAAACACATGATGGTCTTCTTAGGAAATGTTCTAATGTAACTATGAGTTGCAGAGTTATGGAATAAATAAAATGTAAATCTTTCTCCCATCTCTTGCAGAACAGTCTATTTTAAATATATGAAATGGTTTTCTACATAACTTAGATCCTTTAAGAAAGAAAACAACAACCAACTCTAAAGATCTTTAAACACAAAAGGCACATGTATTTATGTGAAATTAATAGTTATATAGAATTAGCTTTGCTCTTTCAGCCATCTATTTTAATCAACACTAACAGGTTGTTCTTTGTCTGCAGGAAGCTGTAACAAACAGCACTGAAGTTGAAAGACAATTGAAAGATGTAAGTTTCCTGTACAGCGTTGCAAGTGCATATAATCTGTATTGTGATGCATAAAAATGTAAATTATCATCATATACATTTCTGGTAGTATGGAACCTCAGAGAGTATATTTCCCTCTAAAATATAGTATCTAAAGTTATTTTGTGATAAGACAATAATTTAAATTGAAAAAACCAAAGCCTTGCAAAATAAAAAGATTGAGATAAGATTTCCACCATCTCTGAAAAACCTTGCTTAGAACATCAGAACAAAGGGGTTACTGACAAATCAGGAGCCTCAAGGAACCTGGTCTGGCACTGCCTGGAATAGCAGGAAGCTGAATCAGAAACCTCCCAAGGTACCTTCCAAGCTGAATAATTCTATGATCCAATCAGCTAAAAACTCCATGTTCTTGTCCTTAGAAATTCTAAGTTCCATTTTCAAGGTTTGTTATTTTATGTTTTATTTTATATTCACGATTGAAAAGTTAATTTTCCATAATCTAGGCATGACTCGAGAAAGCCTTTGTTCTTTAACTCATTTTCCCATTCCAAGAAGTAATCTAATGAGTATTTAATATTGCTACAGTTTTAACTTATGTTCAGCATCCTGCCTTATCTTTCCAAATGAAGATGGATTTATTTATTGTAGGGAGATTCCTACAGTTTGCAGCAGACATAGCTTATCTTTAAACTGTGCAATATATAACTTCTCGCATTTTTAAGGAATAAGACAAACACTTTTAAAATCTGATAACTTACAAGAGACTTTTTTTGTTCTTCTGTTCATTTTCCTGAAGGCTCTTGAGAAAAACCAACAGTGGCTACTGTATGACCAGCAACGGGAAGCATATGTCAGGGGATTGCTTGGGAGGATCTTTGAACTTGAACAGAAGTCAGAAATAGTTAGCCAACAAGAATCTAGAGGATTCAGTTCAGAAGGTATCAACTTTATTTTTTCCCCACAAGTGACCCAAACCATAATTATCTATAGAATAAATTTTCTGAAAACAAGTGATAGCACAATTAATCAAGACTTTGTTTTCAATGCTTTGGCTGCTTAATGGTAAAACTTGGTTAAGTAATATTTCTTTGCTTCCTGTTATCTGTGTTACTTACCAACAGTACTTCATGTTCTTATCCACTTCAAAGATGGGTTTTAACAGCCCTGTCACACTATTAGCAACCTCTCTGTTTGCTGAAAGTGTTGAGATAAATAGGTGTCTCCCATCCTTCAAAGTACACTTTCAACCGACATAATGGAAGCATTAAGGATTTACTAGCTAGGTGTGGATCAGATTTTTTTAAATTTACTTTTTTCAAAATAAATATTATAAAAATGACTCAAGATTGCCACGTTCTTTATTCACCTGAACAGTTGTTACAGGGCATGAAAACCTGTGATAGGTTTTGGAACCTGTCCAAAATAGTGTTTCGCAATATGGATCTGGACACCGCCAGCTCACACTTCCTTGCTGTGCAGTTCCTCAGTAAGGCACACCCTCTCAGTGTTAATAAAATTAAAATCACATTGAGCAGAAGAAGCAGAAGGTGTTGACTTGATTATCAAACTATTATTTCATATATGCTGCAAGTGACCTGCAAGGTAAATTCATTAAATGTGGGGTAAGAGCATACCCACGGACTTGCCACAGTAACTCACATGCAGTGGCTTGGTTCCTGTATTGTTTGAATCTTTATGGAAAACAGTAAAATATCATCATAATCTTGCTTTGGTGCTGTTCAGAAATCTGTGAACAGTATTTTTAGATGAAGACAAGACTGAAGTAGTAGCTCACCAGGAAATGTAACTCAAGAGTTACTGCAGTCAAAGCTTTGTCATCAGAGCAGCCAGGAGACCACGAGTTAGGATGTAAGGAAGTTCCTCTCTTCAAGCAGCTAGACAGTAGCAGAAATCCAGATTTCTAAGGATCTAGCTATACAAGTTGAAAGTAGACATGACAACATTTTCCAAGGAAAATCTTGTCTGTCTCTGAGGATGTCACCACCCTATAAAGGAGTATTGCTAACGAGAACATAAGGCTTAGTTTGTAGCTGAGGGAAGGGAGAACAGTCAAGTTAGAAACTCTCCCTGGTAAATTACACTTTGAAGAAATAGGGTAAGTGTTCAATCATAACAGTATCAAAGACAAGAAACAGTGCCAAAATCAGCAAATCCCATGAAATTCTGCGTTCCTTGTTCTGCTTCTATTTTGTATTACTACTGACTGTATTACTGCAGGCCTCTTAATTTTTTCCTACTTACTAAACTTTTCTTGTGTCAACAAGCAGAAATTTTTCAAACTCTGGTTTAAGTAGCAGTCACTAGCCAAGAAGCAGTTGTTTGGTTTTTTTTAGCAAAAAAAACCTATTTGCCATAGAAGTAAATTATGGCATACAATTTGAAGAAGATGGTCTACAAAAGACAGTGGATGGTCTGAGTTTGGTCAACACTGGTGGAGTCCATCAGATCCCCAGGGTATCTCTGCGGAGGGAGTAATGCTAAGGAGGCTAAAAGTGGAAGTAAGAATCTGGTGTCTTTGGGTCAGATTCCCATGTGTCAGTATAATGCATGAGGGCGTGTAAGAACCGTGTGGGTCATGGAGCTTGTGTAGTTGGGGCAAAGGCTGTAATATTGCTGTAAGGGTAAGTGATGGAAGCAGCTGTCGCACAGAATGTTATGCACATGCCAAGTTGCAATTTTCCAGTAACTGTATAGGTAAAGAGACTATGCATTATAAATATTGAAAGCTGTTTTAACTGAAGTTTGGTGCTAATCTGACCTATGTAATAGCCTACTGTGTCAGTTTCTATTAACAAGCCTTAAAATGCTTAAGGATTTAGTGTCCTGCTTTTTAAGTGGGTTTTTTTCTACATTATTAACTCAATTATTTCTGACTCATTAAGGTCATCTGCAAGAGGAAAAGCAAGAATACTATGACCACCTGCTACTAACTGCTAAGAGGGATCTTGAGACTGAAAGAGGCACTGTAACCCAGCTGAGATCTGAACTTAATGAATTGAAAAAGAAATACGAAGAAACACAAGGAGAAATAATGAGTTTAAATGCCTTATTGCAGTCACAACGGGTTGCTGAAATGAAGGCTCAAGAAAATGAAAATAAAATGAAAGAGAAAGTGCAGAGACTAAAACAGGAAAATGAAATTTTCAAAGAAAAGCTCGGAGAAGGAAAAAAAAAAGCTGAAGATCTTTCTTGTCAGGTAAGTGGATGCATTTGGAGGTTTGAGATAATAGCAAAGAACCAAGAGAGATGAAAAGTCATACTTAATCAGAATGGCCCATCACTCACTCTGATAACTATTCTCTGCATAGATCTAGACTCATGTCCTTGTGATTAAAACTGAGTTGTCTACACAAGGAACTTCTTTGTTCACTTATTTCCCTGATCTTGTGGGACATGAGGGAGAAGTGAGAAAATATTGAATTGATTCTAATATAGTTCATCCTCAAGATTAATAGTAAAGGAGGATAGGAAAAGTGAAAATTCATTTTATTGTGTGCTCCTAACTATGGAATATCATTGATATTTGCTGTCACCTGGCAGATACAATGCACACGTGGCCTTGTAGTTTCATACTTACTGAATAAGCAGCTGTGTCCCCAGGCAGTGCCCTCAGCCAACCATTGTAGCCATGTAGCTGGATTATTTTTCCTTTGCTTTTCCATTCAGATGAGTTCTTGCATTTGATTCTGTATATGATGGATAAGATCTGTGCAAGTACCCCTGAGTACTAGAAAGCAAGGGACTGATAGCAAGGGAAGGGATGGACCTTAAGTTGGGGAAAGATATGAATGTGCTGTATGTTTGTCTTTAAAAATAATCAATGCTTACCTTTTTTTGTATGAAATACTCATGAAGAGTGTGCCACTTCTGCTACACAGAGAATTACAGTGGTGTCTTAGAATATTCCTATCAGCATGGTAGCACTAACAAAAAAAAAAAAATCTATTCTCTCTTCTTCTAGACATGAAATCATGACCACATAACTGCTGAAGAGAAACTGGAAAGTCATCCCTGAAGGACAGACCTCAGGGCACCTAAATATGATAGACTTGCTACTAGAATTCTGGGGTCAATAATAAAACAATGTAGAATGGAAATTTGAAATACGAGAATAAAATTTACTAGACACTGAAGTACACTAAAACCAGAACAGCAGTTCAGCTCTCTGAACACAGGCTGGTTCTCGCTGGTTAATAATGATTAAAAGATGTTTATTTTTTGAAGCAGAACAGCAGCATTATCATAAAAGTTGATACATACTGAAAGCAGAGGATATTTTAATGTCTGCAATTAGTTAATTATTATAGTTTAGTCCTTTCTGAGCCTTAAACTTGTTCTTTTCTCTTATAAAAAAAGTTGCATTGTTTGATACTATTAACATTGTGTCATGTTAGTACAAATGTAGGTTTTGTGTGTAATTTTTCTCAGCATCCTGGCAATTACCTAGGAAACATCAGTTTTGTGTTTCTTTTTTTAACAATAACATCATCCTGCATTTCCCCTTTGCAGTGCAATAATGATTTTTCTGTGGGGTTTTCCACAGGGAAGTAGAGATACTTAAATTGAGTTTGGCTGTTGCATAACAGGTATATATTTTCTGTTGGCGTGGGAATGTAAAAGTTTACTTCCATCCCACTTTAGCTTCATCATTTTTTCAAGCTTATTAACTATTGTATATGAAAGATGTTTATTACAAGTGTTCCTCTGCCTTGTAGGTGCAACTTCTTCATAAATCATTGCTCAAACAGAAAGAGGAGCACACAAGGATAGCTTTGTTGGAACAACAGGTACCCAATTATATGCTAAAATGCTGACATTTAATCTCTATTATGCATAAAGTCTTTCTAGACTAACTTCAAATTTAAGAATGATTAGTATATTAAATAAAACAATACTAGGCATGAATATTCAACTGTGAATAATCTCTTGATGCTTCTAAAAATTTTGACACATCTGTCAAGAGGAAAATCTGTATCCTTGTACTGATGAGTGTGATCAAACCTGATATTATTTTCTCCACAATCACTAGTTCAACAGTTACATCCTCAGATGAGGTACAGGAAACGTCCTTAAACCAATCAGCTCGTTGAAGTTTTGTAGTATATTTTTGATTAAGTTATAGAAATAATTGCATTGCTATCTTTTCCATTTTATTTTTTTTTACAAGTACATTTTTACAGTTATGTTTATTTGCTAAGCTTGGGTGTACAGTGTTATCCATAGTTTCTGTCCAAACTGAAATACCCTCCAACCAGAAAATCTTTCAACTTCACCTGTGCTAAGGGTGATTTTGATAAAGTGGACATGTATGAATTTCATTGTAGTGAAAGTAACAAGTGATTTTTAATTATTTTTTTTTAATTTTCCTTTTAATCCCATTGTAGGATGTGATTGCAGAGCAAAACTGACTTTAAACATACAAATGGGAAATATTCCTCCCTATTCTTAATAATTCTGACTTTAATTCTTTATTTTTTACTTTGGGGGCTGCCAGATCCAGACATGCACCACAGACTTAGAGAACGGAAAGCTTGATCGCCAGAACTTGGAGCATCAGTTAAACAAAGTCCTCAAGGAACTGCACAAGGCCAGGGAGCAAATATCCCGTCTGGAACCTCTGGTATGTACTGAATAACTTGCAGGTGAATTCAGTCAGGGATTTTGCATAAACATACATCTTCTCTCTTTGGGATCTTATTTCAAGCGTAGTAAGTGTCCTTACATCCATCCTTCAGGTATGTGGTCCCAAGGAGCAGAACCCTATGACAGCCAGCTAGCCAGGCACTGCTTTTCCTACAGTGCTGCTGCAGGAGATGTAGAATATTCAGATTGCTGAGCAGGGAACACGACTGTGTTTTGTATCACAATGTATTCCCTAGTTTTGTCTGTCGCACAGTGACAGAGCTGCATTATGCTTCTGCTCAAACCTGCTGCTGGTAAACAAGACACAATCCTTAGTGCTGTAACCCACCCAAGGCTTGTGTGCCATCAAGCCTTAATGTTTTTTCCTGCGGTATTTGATCAGCGCATGTATGCACCAGTCTTACACTAAAGCTCCTCCTTTTCCAGAAACTCCGAGAATCTGGACGTGTGGAACTACAAGAAGATCTGCAAGCTCTGTTTGACGAGAAGCTGACCACGTATGACAGAAGTCCTTCCCCAAAACATTCAAGCCTCCTTGATGAAAGTTTTCTCGAGTGTCCCAGATGTAAAGTGCTGTATCCAACAAGCCAGCACAGAGAATTGTTAGCACATATTGACTTCTGTACAGCTTGAGCTCCAAATGGACTTACTATATTCGCTTTACACATACTGCCAATATGCTCAGCAAGAGATCTTTTAAAGCTTTATTCTTAAGGTTGTATAAAGGACTGCTAGTTTTATAATTCAGTTCTACAGAAACATTATTAAGAGTATAATAATTTGGCCTTAAATATTTTACCTGATGTTTTTGCAAAAAAGCAGCTATTGCACTTTTGGTTGCAAATGGAAATATTTTTAGAATTAGGAATATCTTAAATAGTAAACTACTGACTTTTTTTTTTTTTGCACTATTAAATATAAGAACAGTAAAAGCACAACTATTGTGTCAGACTTTATTTTAACATTTGGCATATCCAGTTCTTGGTTGGTGAATCCTGATGATTGTGCTTGTACCTTAACTAACAAGAATAGCTGCAAAAGATTTTTGGCCCTCATAGGTGCACTATATATATGTATATTTGTATGTACATGGTGTGTGTATGTATGTGTAGTGTGTATAGTATATATAGACATGAACCATATACATGTGAAATGTCATCTTGATACACAAAAACTCAGGAGGGCCATGTTAGATCTTTGCTGCTTAAGATTCATGTTGAAAACATCGATCATAAGTAGCTTATTTTCCTGAACCACAATCAGGGGTGACTAAAATTCTGACCAAGGTTTAAGCTCTTCTCAAAAAAACCAGCTTCCTAGCGAATACAAACTTCATTGCTTATATTTCAGACAATGTCAGAGGCCATTTTTGAAGTTTGGATATAGAATTATGCTGAATTAAACTTGTTTGTACTTCTATATTTTAGAGGTTAAAGTTGAGAAATGTCAGTTATTCAATCTTATATTTGACAAATGTCCCAAACTGCAGCTTTTATAAATTGCTCTAGTGGATTTGAAGTGTCACTGTATTTTGGTATTACTACAGGAAACAAGTTAATGATAAATTCTGGCAACAAATTAGAAACTGGCAAAAAAATTCCTTTATGGATTTGGAATTGCGGCGTTATTTTTCTCTAGCACCTGCTGTAAACCTGAATCTGTTTCCAGTGTTTTGTTCCTTGCATCTGTAGTGAAGTCCAAAAAGAAGTTCCTTCCTTGTAAATTATTAAAATGAGGAAATTTTACAAAGATACACTAGTTGAGAATAAATTTGTTTCTTTTACAAGTTTGTGGTTTTCTGAGGACAGTCAAATACCCAAGGTCTATCCTTCTCTGGCATACTGGTTCTGATTGCTAGCTAGTATCAACTTTTTCCATCATGCTTTGCTGCAAAGCTGCATGTATTTACCTCATAATGCTCACCTTAATCTGTGATGGTTAAACCTTTTTCTTAAAGATGAATTGTGTTTTCCAAGTTATTTTCAATAACTTATTGATTAAATCCAGTGTTCATAAGACAGAAAGAAAATGTTAAAATCTATTATCTTTGTATCTGAAATATCTTCGCCAAATTTACTATATTAACCACTCTCTTTGCCAAATTTATTATATTAGCCACTCTATCCACTTTTCAATTTCACTGACCATGTCTCAGCTAAACTTTGTATTTGACAATTTCTTTAAGTGTTAGCAACAGGCTTTCTGACCAAAGATATAATGAACTAATGAGTAAAACAGAAATTATGCTTCAGAATCTCAAGGTTTTGCTGTGAGAAATTGTCTTAATTTCATGTCTTTTTAAAGATCTTTTAAAGATTTCAGGATAATAGCCATGCTTTTCATTGAACCCCAATAATTTTAATCTCTAATTAAACTACTTTTGAAAGTTTAAGTTAGTTGTATTTTCACAACACCTTAATCAGCTAGTGTTCTATTCCCAGTTGCACACTCAGCATAGTTTCTGCAAAAGGAAATCCTGATCTTTTATGTATTATAGATGAAATAAATGTGCCTACTACGGGTCAGCACTCTTCAGCAGTTCTGAGGCTTTCTTAAATTAGCATGAAACACTTTCTCATTAGAAGCTGGTACTGTAGTGGAAGACTCATAAAGTTAATAATGTGATAACCTTTAAAAAGTTTTGTTCATTCCAGACCCTTTTCTGGTCTTTAACAACAGATTTAGTCCTAACTGCTAAATATTACACCTAAGCACAAAAAAACCCCCCTTGCTGATAAAGATATAGATCATAGTGTGGTATATGTTAAAAAATATAAAAATTATATTCTAGTGAATAAAGAACCACAAATACTATTGTCATCACTTACATGTAATTAAAACCAACTAAAAACCTCCCACTCTGTAAAGTATGCAGCTCATATCATTGGTTTTTTTCCATTCTTCAGAAGCTAAGGCCTCTAAGACAAAAAATTATTTTTTTTTTAGCCTTAAAGTATTCAAGAAGGAAAAAGGTTTGCTGCTCCTCTGTCTAGTTATATTCAGGAAAGAAGTTTGTGCCTAATGAGCTCATCTTAACGATAAAGCTGTAAATTTAGTTCTTTGTAAGACAGGAAGCAACAGCAATGTTTTAATTATTTCAAGCGCTTTGGGTTTACAATTTCAGTAGCCTTCTTCTGTGTTATGCACATTTCAAGGAATAGAATTTCAACCTAGCAGAAAGCTGATGGTCTAGGGAAGCCTGGGGGTTAATACAAAGATTTACCAACACTAGGAAAGAAAAAAAGTCTTCCTATGGTCAGTGAGAAGAGTAACATGTTCAAAATTGCAACAGGAGAAAGTTTGACACAAGGAAAATCTTTCTGGTGGTTGGAGTAGATGAGCAGTGAAACACATCGCTTAAGGAGGCTGGGAAATCACCACCACTGGAGATTTACGGGGGCAGTTACATAACTACCTAAACCATCCCCGACATGTGAGTCTGCCTTGGGTCAGGGATATCAACCATTGATTTCTCACAGTGCCTTGAAGTGCTATTTTAAATTACACACAAAGACCTGCAAACAACACACAATAAGATTTAAATAAAAACACAATTGTTGTTCTGCATTGACCCTCAATGTTATTTCACTCCACGCAAAATTAGTAGCTACCACGCCAGAATCGTGAAAACAGTTTAATCTCATGTTTCTCAGGTGGAAAATTACTGGTATTCCTATGTCTGCATAAACTTCTAGTTTGAGCAGACAAAGCCATTTTATTGCACTGAGCCATCGCAACCCTGCTGGAAAACAAGATAAATAACACAAACACAACTTGATGTCACTTAATTACCTAGTGTTGGGAAGTGCCTCATCCCCACGTTGTTTTAATGAACAGCACCATGGTGTCTGGTTCTATGGCATTTGGGGAGTTTGGAATCCCCTCCACAAGGTGTTCCAGAAAGCTGGTGTACTGAGTGAGAGTTAGCCAAGCCAGCCAGTGAGAAACATGACTGCTCAAGAAAGGCTTGGTGTGTAGAAAGGAGATTCTCTGGAGGAGTAGCAGATGTAAATTCTCTTATAACATTGGCTGTCTATGTCAAATGAGCCTCTTGCAAAATAAAAACAGACTTCAAACAGGACATGTATCCATGAAGTGAGACCTCCCCTTACACCCAGTCTCCCTTCAGACTTGGAACAGAAATCCACACCAGCAGTCAGGGACATTTTGCTGTCTCTCTCTGACCAATTAAGATTTTAAGTATTTCATATTGAATTAATAGTTTCAAAAAGAGCAAGATAAGATGCTTCAGAATATCCTGTAAGAATGAAGCCTGACACCTTATCGTAGTGATACCCAGCTGGCTTCTTGACTGTGCCACCACATTTAATTTCCCTCATCAACTCAAAACTGGTGAATGTGCACACTGCAACAGTGAAAGTCGTAGTTTTATCAACGTAACAACTGCGATATGGTCAATATTATTTCATTCAACTAGACAGAAAACTCTACAGCCTAATTAAGGCATCCATGCTTTCAAGCCTCAGTTTTTAAGAAGCTCTAAGTCATCTCTTATCGGTCATTTCAAACAGCCATTGATAATATTAAACACGAACAATGTGAAAAATAATATGATTAGCATTACATTTGAGAAATCAGAAGGGTTTACAGCAGAATTTAAAGTATTGTTTGAACTTTCTCTCATTGCTGTTGCAAGAGTGATTTTTCTACTTCTCCAGCCCGAGGTTAATGCTAGTTAAGCACGTGCCTTGCCTTCCAATATGGACAGATTTTCTTTGCAGCAGACAGGCACTCTGTTGACCTTATTTCAGAAAAATGTGGCTTTTAAAAGTACAGTTTCTATTCCAATTCTGACCTGAAGAACCCCTGTTTCTCCCAACAAGTTACTCTTTAGGATGAGACATAAGAGAAAGAAAAGCAAGCCAATTCTCCTTAAATCTCACAAATAAGAGCATTCTCTAATCACTGGGTTCTTGAATATGAGGGAAAATAAGGATATCTGTGATCTCTGCACAGTGTACAACCCAGCAGACCAATGTGTTCAGGAAATGTCTGAGTACATCTCATGAGCATGAGAGACTGGTGACAAGTTTAGTTTGTAAATCCTTCAGATGTACACAACAATATTTGCTTTGATGTCTCTGCATCAAAGGTCATTAGCAGGAATGTAAGTAACTTTTTGCACATCTGAAAGTTAAGCAAAGGTTCAGGGGCCCTTAAACATCAGACTATAATTCTCCATATAAATGTTACTCAGGATCTCAGTTCCTGGTGAGAGCATTCTACCGTATCCTGCAATGTCCAAACAAATCATTCTGTTACCCTGTATTCACTGATAAACGCCCTAAATCCATGGGCTAGATGTGTGAGTGAAATAAAGTTTTTAAAACTGTTAAAAAACAACCTCATTTAGTTAGAACAGTTTAGCTGGAGCTGAGTCACCCTGGTGAAGCTTGGTTAGTGTGCAGCAAAACAGAATTCTCTTTTACATGGATTATGTACTTACATTTGCACTTGGTTCAGAGAGAAATCCCTTCATTACTGAAAGACACAAGGAAATTGTTCAGTATTGATGCTGGCAAAAGTTCTGATGTTGGCAAAACTTCTGGTGGTCTTGACAACAAAAAGCTGACACAGCTTTTATTAGAAAGCACATCTACTGAGAGTAGTATCAGCAGCTCTGCATTTGCCCGAGGCATTGGTCAATAATGCTGCTGCTACAGCTTGAAACTACAGCACTGGCACATATCCCAGGAAGCATACCAGCTTCTGATGGATACTGACCACAGCAAAATGAGACTTCTCAGAAGAAACAGTCACTTGCTCATGCCCCAGAAGAAACAGGGATTAGTTTTTGACACGATGACACATATGAAGCACCTAGCTTCTCCAGTGGACACTGGAGTGTGAGAGCTTGCTACTATATGAAGATAAACAGATGCATTTATATTTGCAGTCCAAGTTTAAAATTGTCCCTTGCACATTGGTGTAAATGCGTCAGCTCACTGATATGAAAGTATACAGTGGGTGAGCAGTTGGAAAACTTCCTAAAAAAGAAAATAAATCAAAACAGACTTGTATTTGGAACACAATATGACAGTAACATGACTTCTTATAAGCATAGAATTCATAGTGTCTAGAAACAGAATACCTGCAGTATTGTATGTAAAAGGAAAAGTGAAAATA